GCATTCTTTCTAAATGCAGGTTCAAGGGCTGCTGAGAAATAGTATTTTTATTGCCACAAAGTCTGAAGCGCTTGCCTTTTTCCCTACATTGTTGCCTGACCTGTTAGCTGAATTTGCCTCCTTCATGGGCAGGGCTGTCTCCCAGGAAAAGGGTTTGCCTGGTGGTGACTTTTAAACACCCCAACCTGAATGCGAACAAAATCCAACCTGGATATGAACCGGGGAGAATTATTTCCATTTGTGCAGGTCATTGGCTAGCAAAGGAGTGGGGAGAGTAGGTGCTTTAATAGCGACTTCAAGGATTCTACATTGCACTTCTAGGGCTCATGTGATGTTCAAGCTGTGTATAATCATAATTTCACAGAACACAATAAAATGCTTTAAGTGCAAGAATGCAACAGTAGGTACCTATTAAAATTCCACAAGGATCATTGATAGAACATCACCTTTGGCAGCATAGAAGGTACTTAGCCAGCCAGAATATAGATCTCATTGCCAGCTGACCCAGGGTGGCTGGTGCTCCCTGTGGCATGGCATTTCCGGGCTTAAAAAGCAATTGTGTTCTGGACCAGCCTGAGGGTCTAGTGTGGGAAGATGCGGCATCCTTCCATGGAAGCCCTTGCTGGGGTGACTGCCACTTCTGAAACCCCTCAGCACTCAGACTCGTTGAATGCGTCGCACAAGCACACGTTGTCCTTGGCCCACTGAGCAGTAAGTCTCGGAGAATTCAGTCTGAGGTACATAACTCCATAGAAAGTTGGAACAGCGACTCCTGAACCAGCTTTCGCTGCTAGTCCAGCATGTCCGCGAACATAATTTTCTTAGGAACAATCGCTGCGTTTTAAGATTTAGTATTACAAATCTTGCAAGACTGAGTTACAAAATCAAAGTTCTAAACTTTAGATAAGATCATTTCAGCATTCCACCAGTTTATTGTAGTATTCTCAGGCCCCCTGCAATATTATTAAAGATCTGGAATAAAGGCATTGCGCTGGCTAAGATGGAATAGTAAGGGACTTGATTTGAGGAATGTTGCAGAATTTTATCCAGATGGCCATCGTCATCCCATGGCATCCGGCACTTCGCGCTTCGCCGTGGCCCCGCTTCTTCCACGTGATGGGTAACTTGCTGCGCCACGTGCCTGCTGCTTCTCTAAAGTAAATGCCTCCAAAGTAGGAACGGGCAAATCTAAGGGCATTTTTCTTCTCCTGCATATGGAGAACCTTTAGAGCTTTTCCTAATTAAAACCATTCCCAGCACCGCACTCTCTGTTCTGAGTGCTGCAGCCAGAATACTTCACTCTCACAGGGGGCAGCGAAACCAGAGACTGATCAAAGCGCATTATGAGATGGGCCATTTCATTTTTCATCACTTTCCTAATAACCCCTGGCATGGGATATGCCTTTCTTCTCACCACCACTGCCACATACTGAGACAAAATCAGGATTATCGTCACTCAGTCCTTACAATGTCTTTCAAAACCCCACAATGAAGCACTAGAATTGCAAATCATAAATCACTTGTCATCCTGTGCTTTTCGGCGGCATTTTGCAATGATGCTCCCTTTTCCCCCAATTATGTAGACCATAATTGGGAAACTTTTGACAATGAGTATGACAGCAATATCCAATTATCATAATTCTCTGCAAAATTATGTTGTTTACTAAAGTATTCTAATCAGGGTTTAATCTCTTCTGAAACTGACCCAGATAAAGGCTTAATCAAACTGAGATTGCAAAATGGAAGTACAGGGATGCAGTCATAAATGCTCTTGAAATGAGGAGAGGCAGGGCCGAGGCAATTTTTCTTGCATATTTAAAACAGATGTCTACAGGGGAATAATTAATAATCTTTCACCTCTGTCAAACTGTGTTTGGAATTGCTGGAGACAATCTCATAATGAAACAGCAAATTGTCCCATTAATATAACCATTTCTAGGGCAGCTTCAGTTTGCAAAGCTGCATCCCCATTTCTTGTGTGGATTTTTCTTCATGCCAAGGCAGTTTGCTATTATTCCCATTTAGTGGGTGGAAAATGGAAACTGACAGCCAATGGATACATAACTGACATGCGGCTTTGTTAGCGTCTTGTGGCTTGTAGATTCACGGGACCTTTGTGCAAGGATGTCAGAGACACCTGTGACATGTCAATGAGTTCAGATTTCTATGAATCCAACCTGTGGGTTCTGCACTGGACCATTTTTTTCCGAGTCACACAGATCCTGTGGACTTGCAGGCTGTTTCTCGCCGGGGTAGGGGAATTAAGGCAAACAGAATGCAATTCAGTGAGTGCCAAGCGGATTCCATGATTGTGCGGATAATAAGCAGGAGGTGACTGATCACCTGTAAAACACAGAATTGGATTAAGAAAACCCACACTCCTCTACCTCATGCCCACAAGTCAGTTCTTAGGAAAGATGTGGCAGACAGGAAGCTTGCAAAGGCTTTGGAGAAACAATTCAGGCTGCCATTATCAGTTGCCAAAAAGTCTAGAAAATAAAGATTTTTTTCACCTGGTGCTGAAAAGATGGTAATGAGGGTGCCAGGTGAACCGCTTTCTGGAGGCTGTTCCTCAGATAGGGTGCAGTGCTGAGACAGCCCCTCTTCCATCTGCCATCCCCTCCCCTCTTGGAGGGAGGCTCAGTCAAAATGGGCTCCGAAAACGATCTTGGGGGCCAGGCAGGTGCACATGGGAACAGGTGGTCCTGCAGGGATACTGGTCCCAGCCATTTAGGATCTTATCAACGCTTATCAACACTCACTACATCAACACAGTAGAAACTCATTCAAGTTGCAATTTCCTTTTGTTTGGTTTTTAGCCAGCAGTTTTTAGTTCAGTTCTCCATTTTTAGAGCAGCCCTGATCTGTAGGAATGTGTCCAACGTGTGTCCATAAATCCAGGATCCCGAGGCTCTCATTTTGGGGAGCAATATTTACACAGGGTTTTTTTCCTCCTCAGGGCAAAGGGAGGTGCTGGGAGCAACAGCGGCAAGCGGAAGTCAGCCAGTGGCTTGGCTTGCAGAGGCATTGCCCAGTGACTAGCTCTTAAAAGCGGGACTTAGGGCTTGATTTTGTGTATGCTCACAGAGATAAAAGGACCTTTTCCTGCCTCTGTGTACAGAGGGTTCTGCTCTTAACCGCTTTCCTATTCAGACCACAGCTGGAAGGAAATGGGTATAATTTGCCAAAAGGCCAGCATGGACTAATGGGACACGATGAGTGGAAAACAGCTGTTAAGCTTAAAGCACTAAGGCTGAAACCTTGGTCAAGTGTACTTCTTGGCTCATCAAGTGTGACATTAAGGGGATTATAGTCTTCTATCTTTCCAGCTTCCTTTTCAATTCGTTTGTCTAAATTTCTTGGCTCCCCATGAGAATGGGGCTCAATTCAAGGGAAGCCTGCTAAGAAGTATCACTTAGGCAGCTCTCTTCAACCCATTAACACTCAATTAAGACTCACTGAAGGTCGGGGTTGTGCTTCCAAGTTGGCATGCACAGAGTTGGGTTGCAAATGGCTGAGGCACCACGGCCTCTAAATCCAGGAAGAAAGCACGAGTGTTGGCAAGATCTTTCCACGGACCTTGCTTTCTATTACGATTGATCAGTGTAGACGCACAAAACGTTTGGTTTCATCTGCTGTCTTCTTGCTTCTGAGCACTCCTTCCGGTTTGCTGCTGAGGTTGCGGAGTGGGTGGAAATTGCACGGAGTGAATATCCAAGGCAGGGGCACAGAAAGGTCTGGATATGGAGAAGGGGGGGGGGGGGACTGAGAATCCGTGGGACCAAAGTAGTTCATTGCCAGCATCCACCTTTTGAGGGAGAATTCCAAAGTGTGAATCTGCAAAATATGGCCCGTTTTGCAGCTTCCAAGTCTATATAATAATATCTGTGTGGGTCATTCTGGTTTCTCCATTCCTCTTTCCCAACGCCCCCGCCCCCCCTCGCCCCGCCAGGGTACTGCTATCCACTTACAAACCATGCATGTTAATTACATTATTGAGATTAAGAGTGGGTCTAATTGGCACATTGTGTCCGGGTTGCCTTTCCAAGGGAGGCAAGGCTGTTACAGCAATCCCATCTGTGTTTGTTTATTTATTTTATCTATTTAAAACTTTGAATATATTTAAATAAAATATATAAACATATATTTAATCTATTTAAATTTACTTAATATATATTTAATATATTTGAATTTATTTGAACAGACTGACTACAAGTGAATCCCAGGAAGGGACAGTGGTGGCCATTTGGCAAAATGATACCTTGCAGCTTATTCTCTTGCCTGTTAGTCTTCTTATTTTTATGTGGCATCCAAAACCCCCAAATATTTCTGTATTTATAAAAATGGCTCCAAAATGTTGGAATCAAAGCATGCTCAAGAGTATGGCAAAGGCTTAATGGCCATTTATGAACTTGCTCTGCCCCTGGAGCCGGGTGTGAGCCTTTGCATCCCAGCCTGGCCAGCTTTTGGAAAAATATTCCTAAGAACGAATGAGTCACCTGAGATGCTCTGCAAAGTAGATAAACAGGGATAAAGTGCTTGTGTATAAACCAGGGGGAAGCCTTTTCCAGGTGAGGCTAAAAAGCCGAGAGACCCAAAGAATGGGATTCCTCTTTCAGAGCGCATCCTCATGCAGGGGAGCACGAATGCACCCGCGACCCAGCGGCAGTTCGAACCTGTGTTTCATTCCCAACCAGCCATTGATGACGAACTGGCATATCGGGGCTAAAAACAGCGAACACTTGAAAGAGGCCATTGTCTCCGCCAGCCACTTCCAATCTGGGTTGAGGGCTGCCAGACTGCAGAGAATTTGCCAATAAACTCCCGCTTGGTGCCATGCATGTGCTCAGCCCTCCCTTTCAACTGTGGCTGTTGAAACACGGCGACTTCGAAGTCTGGGATGGAACGCGCCACACCAGGTACCAGACCGATAGCCTTAACGCACTGTCGTCATCTTCTCCTATGGCAAGGCAGGTCTCTGAACCAGTGGGCGCTTCCTCATGGATTTCCCAAACGAGTCCTGGTATGACGGCGGCTATGACAACAAGACCCTCAACGGCTCCGACGCCGCAGGGAAGACGCACCACTACAATTACTACGCGATGCTCCTCACACTCCTCATCTTCGTCATCGTCTTCGGCAACGTGCTGGTGTGCATGGCGGTGTCGCGGGAGAAAGCCCTCCAGACAACCACGAACTACCTGATCGTCAGCCTTGCCGTCGCGGACCTGCTGGTGGCTACGCTGGTGATGCCCTGGGTGGTCTACTTGGAGGTAGGCGCTGGATGGCACGAGCCCCTCTTGCACATTCCAAGGGCCTTTTCGGTCACACATTTGGAATCGGGAGGCGATGGGGTGGGTGGAGAAGTCTGCGGCTGTGTTAGATTAATTTATTACTTATTTATTCGATGTCTAACATGCCCCATTAGCCACACAGCTCCTTGGACGGGTTACAACAACATTTGTGAAGTTGACCCATGGATTCTGCAGCAGATTGGACTTGTCTTTTTCACATGTTGGGGTTTACACTAATAAGCATTGATGGTAACATAGAAACATAGAAACAGAGCGAGTCAGAAGGGGGATCCTGGGCCATCTAGTCTGACCTCCGGCACCAGCCGGCTCCACTCACGACATGCCCACCATGTGCACGTCCAGCCTATCCTTGAACACCTGCACCGATGGGGCCTCAACGACCTCTCGTGGAAGCCCCTTCCACACCCTCGGGGTCCTGACTGTCAGAAAGTGCTTCCTGGCATCCAAATGGAACCTGGGTTCCCTGAGCTTTGCTCCGTTGGAGTGCGTCCTGCCTCCTCTGCAGGGGAGAACAGGCCTCTGCCCATCCCCTCACATACTTGTATGTTGCCAACATATAATGAGGTAATGAGGATACGGGCTCGTTTGCATTAACAAAGGCACGTTTGTGCCTTTGCCCAGTTGTGCGTTCCTGCCAATGCCCTTTTGGGCTAAGCGTGCCTTGCAGCTGAGGGGGATTGGTGCCAAGTGGGATGAAATTCTGGTTTCAAAAATCAATTCCATCCAAGAAGAGACAACAGGACAGATACTGCCTGACCAGCTAAACACAAACACACACACAAAATGGAGTGAAGAGGACAAAAGCTGCATATCCCTCGCTGAGGTGACCCAAACATTAAGCACCAAACTAGAGGTTAACCATGGGAGGCAGGGAAGCCAACGCAGCTCTTCCTCCAAATCGCTTCCGCAGACCAGGTCCTCGCATCTCACGAGCAGCTCCCCCTCAATTATAGCCAAGTTGTGAGCAGTTGTAGCCAAAAGGGGATGGGGTGCGGGCAAGTTAAGGGGATAAAGAGGCAAGTTCCTTCCCCAGCCACTCCCGGGGACCCTTTCGGCTCCCCTTTCACTGTTTACATAAGAAAAAGGTGCACGTGAACTGCAATTCCCAAATCTAGGCTGGTTCTCTGAAGAGAAGCTCGCTCACCGCTCGAGCGATGCGGCTTCGCACCGTGGCTGATGCAGAAGAGCCACTGGGCCTCCCTCTGCAAGGAAGGGCCACGTTTCAAGGGGCAGGAGCACCCACTCAGCTGCCGTCACTCCCGTGTCTGATTTTGGACTTTGTGCCCCTGGGGCAGAGACCAGGCCGGTTAGACTTCGAAAAGCATCACACACACTGATGACGGCCGTGGCTGCATTCACACAACACAGCAAGTGACCCAGTGTGGTTACCCCGGTCCACCATTTTTTACCACGCGGTGGCCATTTCACTGTGGCTGCCACCTCCTCACTCAGGCCTCTCGCTGTTGACATTCATCCCATCAGCCCCCATACCAGAAATGGAACCCAAAGGTCCGTCACTCCCCACCTATGTCACCTGCCACGCTTTCCAAAGGACTCTATGGAAGTTGCAGGCCAGCACCATGGAGACCAAGATTCTGGGTTCAGCCTACGTGGCAAGCCATGGTGGCACGCAGAAGCCACTGAACGAACCACTGTTTCTTATCGTGGTTTCGAAAGACTAAACTTACCATGATGAAAGAGCATGACTGGATTCAGGTCACGTGCCAAACACTGGTTTAAAAAAACACCATGGTTCGTTTGTGGTCTGAACGCAGGGTGTACATCAGCGCATGTCCCCAGGACAGGGAGAGGAGGAGGTACATGGTGAGCATCAGCAGAAGCGCAGCATGTGCTCTGTGCATCTCCAGCCATGCCTCCTGATATTCCACTTTTGAACAATTAAAGAATTTAATTTAATTTTCAAAAGCAGTTTAATTCAGAATTTCCAAAAGTCATTTGATACGCATCATTTACTTACTTATTTATTCATCCACGCCTATTTATGTATGTTTCGAATGCTTTTGGTGTCATCAGAGGAATGGGAGCAGGAGGCAGGCAAGAAAATCTGACTGATGGCACCTGCCCACAGGCCCTCTTATTTTAGATCTGCCCACTGCCGAAGGGGCTGCATGCGACGCCATTTCCCCTACGGGACTCGAAGCCAACAGATTCGGCCCTTTTGCCTCCACTCCCCCACTCCAATTTTTTCTGTTCGGAGCAGAAGATATTTATTCCTGGCAGTCTTAAAAGTGGTTTTATGATTACCTCCGTGAGCCTCAGAGAAGCGGCTTCTAAATATTTAAAATGTCAAATGAAATCACATAAAATAATATTAATGCCTGAGCATTTTGAGAGAGAGCGGTGCCTCGGAAGCACCTCCATTCCTAAAGCCCCGGTTTCTCTCTTCCATCCGTCTTGGCCATTTTAGTACTGATCGCAATTTCTTCTGGATGGAGATCATGTAGTGTAGCCCTAGGCATTTCCACTCAAATGCCAGCCCAACTGAACTCAATGGGACGTATTCCTGGAGAGTGTATAAGGAGCAGCCGCTGCTTCTCAGCTGAAAATGCAGGTGTTTGCAACCCCTGTATACTCACACAGAGGGTGGCACTCCGACTCAGAAGGCTTGGCTTGGCTTGGCTTGGCCTGGCCTGGCCTGGCCTGGCCTGGCTGCCATTAGCTCTGCTGGGAAAAGGCGACGGTTCTACACTACCACTGTGAACTTTCAGGAGCAGTGATGCCCAGGTCTGGCATTCTTTGGGAGAAAAGTTCGCTGGAGATATAATGCTTAATGCAGTGTTTAAGTTTGTTTATAATATACCGGGGGTGCCAAAAATGTATACACATTTTAAGAGAGGTTATCTGTGTATTACTTTGCAAGGTTGAATTGAATTACAGTGGCAACGTGTGACATGGCGTTCGCTCAAAAGGTGGCGTTGGTCAAAGGAACGCTAGACTCACCATGCAGCAGGCAGAGCAGCCAAGGAAAATGGCGGGGTGGCCTGCACAGCCAATGCTGCTCAAGTCGGAGTTTGCCATGCTCAGAAGTGCCTGGATGCTGGCAGTCACCACCTGGAGCACCTCTGGCAACTGCAGAAGTCAGCTGTGACGTTTGTCATTGGTTAGGGTTATAGATTGAGTATTACAATTTTAATGCAGTTTTTTCCTTTCTTAAAAAGTGTATACATTTTTGGCGCCCTCTGTATAAGTTGAGCTGGTGTAGGAGAACAGGTGCTTTCACCAAATGGCAAATCCATCCTGGATTCCTCCAGCGATTCAAGAGGCCAGCTTTCTCCCCGCTCCCCTTTTCTCTCTGCCTCATTGAAGCTGCTGCTTCTGTTGATCCTCCTCGCCAGAAACTTAGATTACATCATCCTGGGCTGGGGGGATGCCCCCTCCCGCCTCCACCACCCTCAAGGAAGATCCAGCAATTTCCTGGCCATCTTAGACTAATTATCTGTAATTTCTCTGACAAAGACTTTGACTAGCACATAGTCCTTCTGACTAATTACTATGTATGGGTGTGAAAGCTAGACAGTGAAGAAAGCTGACAGGGAGAAAAATCATGTATTTGAAGCATGGTGCTGGAGGAGAGCTTTGCAAATATTTTGGACTGGCAGAAAAACAAACAAGGTCCAATCGAGCCAGAATTTCCCCTGAAAGAAAAAATGATGAACCCAAGTTGTCATATAATGACAGAGTGAGACATGCTGGAGAAGACAATAATGCTAGAGAGAAGAAGAGGAGGAAGACCAGCTGGAAGGGGGGGGGGGGGGCTCTTCCACAGCAATCAGCCTGCAATCCCATAACTGACCCGCATGGGGCAGTCTGCTATTCAGGGTGACGGATTTATCTCAGGCAGCAAATTTGGGGTCATAAAAGGGAGGCAATTTGGTTTTTTAATCACTGTCTATCTACTGTCAGAGATGGGGAGAGAGATTTATGGGATGCTCCGCCTTCTGGATCCAAAAAACCTGGCTGGTCTTAGATGCAACACACCTCCATTCACTCATTGGTTTGTCTGCTGTGGTTCCGCACTGAGTTGTGGCCACTCGAGCAACTGACTCTCCGGTCTTCCTCAGCTCTTTATTTCTCGTTGCTTTTCCACCAGGTTGTGCCCTGGCCATTTCTCCTTTCTGTTCACTCCTGATGAGGTTGTAGGAGTTCTGGATCTGTGTCCAGCCCTGTCCAACAGCAGCCGTGGCAGTGCAGGCACGACAGGAGCTCCACCAAGCAGTGCTGGGCGGGCTCTTGAGCCCCCCCGGGCCAGGAAAGATGAGTAAAAAATGGCCTGCTGGCAAGGAGGTCTCTTGACCAGCTTCGACCTTTCTGATAATGTCTCTGGAGTACTGCAGTATCCTGCACATGGAGCTGTCTTTGAGGAAGCTGCAGACTGGGGCAATGAGAACTCTACCTGCGGCCAGGTGCTGCGAACACCTTCCACTAGTCCGTTTTCATCTCTGCTCTTTTCCGATTTGCTCCTGGAATTCACCCATTTTTCTCCCGGTACCTCATCTGAAAAGCTTCCTGTTTCCACAAGCCATTTTTGCAATCAATTTTCTTTTCACCTGGTTTGGGCCTCAAGGACTGTATCCTTTACACCTACGAGGATATTTGTAGCTGTGCTGCTCTTTTATGAGGAACGTGCCTTTTATTTCCTTGTGTTTTGTTTTATCTCTGAAGGTTAGAGGAACTCTGGATGCAACGCCTGCGCCGAGAGCTGGACATTCCAGTCTGGCATCGCTGACTCTGACGCTTGACGCCTCTGCCACTTTGTTTATTTCCCTTCTCTGTTCAGGTGGTTGGCGAGTGGCGATTCAGCCGCATCCACTGTGACATCTTTGTCACCCTGGACGTCATGATGTGCACAGCGAGCATCCTCAACCTCTGCGCTATCAGCATTGACAGGTAAAGCATCCCTCGCCGATTGCTGCCCGGCCAAAACCTTCTGGCCCCACGGCAGCACCAACACAGCATCACCCCCCCCCCCGCCGCCACCCTCTGAGGCCACCAGTGCCCTGACTCGCTCCCCTCTTGCTCGCTTTCTCGAGAGCACCAGAGAGCTCCAAAGGTGCGCGACTGATAGTCCTCTTTCCTGTGTTCCTCGGAACAGGTACACCGCTGTAGCCATGCCGATGGTTTATAACACTCGCTACAGCTCCAAGCGCAGAGTCACGGTCATGATTGCGGTAGTGTGGGTTCTCTCTTTCGCCATCTCCTGCCCATTGCTTTTTGGACTGAACAATACAGGTGAGCAGGGGGATGAGATCAGCTGCCAGGGCAGGCGTTCCGCGATAGGTGAACGTCTGCTATGGCCCTGGGTCTTTCAGAGTCTTCTTTTCGTTATGAATACAAAACCAAAGAAAGGAGGGAGGGAGGGAGGGAGGGGGAGAGAGAAAGTGAGAGAGAGAATATTTGCTTGTATTTGTTGCAAATGAAACCCAGCCAGGGTATGTTTCTTGACACCCTGGCCTTCCGCTGCAGTACCCTTGCATCTCCTGGAAGGATTACGCACTTCCACCAGACATTCATCTCTGGTCAAGTGAATAGCTCTCGTTAATGGGTTGGATCCAGATGTACCTGGGCTTAGAATAGATCCACTGAAATGGACAGGGCTTACAGTTAGTCTTGCCTAAGTTAAGTCCCCCTGGCGGCAGAGGGCCTGCTCATTAAAGTAGGTTTAAATTTGGATCTCATCATTATCTGTTGGATGAGTTTATAGGAGGACAAGTTGGCAGGCTGGTGAGGTGGGGCAGGACAACACGGTTGCCCAGAACGCAACTGTATGGGATGCTGTCAGGTGTCCATGATGCTGTCCAGGTGTCCATGATGGGCGACCCAAAATGGCCCGTGCTCTTGGACTCTCCCTTAGTGAAAATCTCATCCTTGCTTTGGAGTCTTTTTCCTTGAACTTAAGGTGGGGGGGATGCAGCCCTTCCTGCGGGTAACCCTCCCCACCTTCTAGGGCACCACACGCACACACTGGCAGTAGTGCCTAATGGCTGGGACAATGCTCCTACAATCTCTTCTGTCTTCCAGAGAAGAATGAGTGTATCATTGCCAACCCTGCCTTTGTTGTGTATTCCTCTATCGTCTCCTTCTACGTTCCCTTCATTGTCACCCTGCTGGTGTACATGCAGATCTACATAGTGCTACGGAAGCGTAGGAAGCGGGTCAACACGAAACGCCCCCTCGCCCACACTGGCCTGGAGTCTGACGCACAGGCCCCGCTGAAGGTAAGCAAAGCCCAGGTTTGACCATGACCTCGGCCTCCACCTCCTCTTCTCCCGGATCCTGCTGATACTAGGATCCCCCAGCTCCTCTCTTCCCTCTCCACATCTCCTGCTTATCCTGAGGGACCCCCCTGTTGTCCTGCCTGCTCCTTGTAGAGCTCCCCTTGAGGGGAAGTGCTCTGTGGGTCTGATCCTTGTAGGGTTCTTCTTCTAGGGAAGCCCTCTGTCCTGGTTTCCTTCCCGCTAGCTCCGTGTTCCAGGTTGCGGTCTTCTCAAGTAACCCTTATGTCCCTCCTTACCTTCCTTCCTTCCTCCTGCCTCTCGCTGCCCATCCTCAGGACAAATGCAGTCACCCAGAAGATGTCAGGCTCTGCCCTCTCGTCATGAAGACCAATGGGAGCTTCCCAGTTCATAAGCGGAAAGTGGTGAGTGTTGCCAGCTTGCACGCCAGGAGAGGACAAAGTGCAGGCTCGCGGGATCCATGTAGGGCGCTTTTCTCAGAAGCCTGAGGCCACACACAATCCATTCCTGCTTTCTTCCCTGGTCACTTTTTCTGCTTCAGCAGCTTGATTTTGAACATGTGCCTCTGCCAGGGGGAGGGAAACTTGGATTGTTTTTGTTAGACAATTGAGCAATCATCCCCTGCAAACCACAAAGAGATCAGCCACCAGCTTCTTCTCTTCTGCCCACCTCTTCTGTGTGCCCATCAAACCTTTTCTCTGCCCAAGAAGAGAGCAAAATGAGCCCCACCAGGTTCTCAAGGGGGTCCTGGGAGGGAAGGCAGGAGCAGCTTTCCCAGGTTGCTCCTAAGGATATGAAAATTCTGTAAGATCTGAGCTCCTAGAGGTTCCCCAGTTTCCACCTGGAGCTCATCCTGTGTCGGAGCTGGTTTTTCACTTACGCAACATGGTATTTCAGCATGCATCTTTCCAAAGGCATGCATTTTTTTAGCATATTTTGAAATGCACAAGTATTTCTCCCATTGATGAATCCAATGTTAGTGTCCTTTTCCCCGAAGTATGTATTTTTCAAGGGTATTTTTGGAATGGAACTATTTCTGAACACACTTTCCCTCCGACACACATACAAATCACATTGCAAGCTCAGAAATGCACAGACTTCAGTGAGCTGCAGGTGGCATTTGGCTCTAACTTCACGTTGGGATGGTGCACTAGGCAACTTCTGGTTTGCAACAAAATAGAACAAAACTCTCATGCATTTCTGGCTCCTCTACTGAAACAGCAGCCCGGGACTGGCACATCAGTGATGGCAGGCCCCGAACAAACCCTTTCCCATTTTGGGTTTGTCCCTGCATGCATTGCTCCCCCTTCTGTAAAATAAAGGAATCGTGAAATAAACTAAAGCGTTGTGCTGTGGGGCTTCTGATCCCTGTCTAGGAGGCAGAGAGTCACGTGGAAGAGATGGAGATGGCCACCAGCACCAGCCCACCGGAGAAGAGCAAGCACAAGCCATACGTGCTGGGCAAGGGCGACCGAGACATTCCAGCCACTTCCAAACTGTGTGCTAATTCAACTCTGCAGGCTCCTGCAGACGGCTTGCCGAAAGTAGAGAAGAACGGGCATACGATGGACAACCCCCAAACTACCAAGGTCTTTGAGATCCAGACAATGCCAAATGGCAAGACCAGGACCTCCCTCAAGACCATGAGTAGGAGGAAGTTTTCGCAGCAGAAGGAGAAGAAAGCCACTCAAATGCTTGCTATTGTACTAGGTAAGGATCTGATTTAGCTCCCTGTTGTGGTGTTGATGCAGATCCATCAGCTGTCCAAGAACAACCTTCTCTTGAGTATACCTGATAGGTTAGAGCAGCTTTCCCCAACCTGGTGGCCTTCAGGGGTACTTGGACTACAGCTCCCAGAATCCCCATCCAGCAGGGCCATTCACTGGGAATTCTGGGTGTTCCAGTCCAAAAGTGCCTGGAACACATGAGGGTGGGAAAGGCTGGATTGGGGATATTTTTTTCCTCAGCAAAGAATGAAAAACTATCTAAGCAGGTTGCCTTCCTTGCCTCTGGTGGCTCACGCGTCGCATGGCTCCTTTAATTCATCCCCCTGCAGGTGTCTTCATCATCTGCTGGCTCCCTTTCTTCATCACCCACATCCTGAACATGCATTGCCACTGCGACATCCCCCAGGTGATGTACAGCGCCTTCACATGGCTCGGGTACGTCAACAGTGCTGTCAACCCCATTATCTACACCACCTTCAACATTGAGTTCCGAAAGGCCTTCATGAAGATCCTGTACTGCTAGCTTCCCCCTGAGGACCAGACTCATGAAGAGCACCTTCACCATGGGGGTTGTAAGAGACTCTGGAGGAAAGCTCACAGTGCCATGTCTACATGTTTTTGGCAGCAGCAGTCACGGGCAAAGGCTTTCCAACTCTCAGATGGACTCTGGAAGACAGTTGCAAAGGAGAACAATTCAAATGCAACCTTTGCACTGTGCTAAAAGGAAAGGAGCAATGGAAAACAGCCAGGGCACCTGCCTGTGGCCAGAAAGATCTCCTGGGCATTCATCACAGATTTTAGCTGGGCACAACAGTGGGACACATTGGCTTGTTGTTACTGATGCATTTCTCACCAAAGACACCACCGTCCTGTCTGCTTGGCTGTAGGAGAAGCCACCCCTTCTGGCCACGCCAGCTCTGTGGGAATTGGGTCCCCTGGCCTTGCCTTCAGACGTGTGTGGCCCACGTGGCTTTCAGTGGAACTGCAGAGACCTGGGTGGTGCAGTCCCCATCGGGGCTGTCGAGGGCCTCGAGTCTGCTGCCGCCCGTCCCATGAACTCAACTGAGGAGAATGTAAGAAAATGGAATCTCAGGGCAGAGTGGAAAGAGAATAGGATGCCTATACAATATCAATGTATATATGAATACATAGAAAGAACTGAGCAGAAGCCCAAGCCAAAAAAGTAATAATAAATAAGACCTGCCACTTCTTTCCTTGCATGGTATGCATTGTAATGAAGAAGCCATCTCCACATGCACCAGCACACTGTCACCGGCACCTTCTCAGAGTACGTCTACCATTGCGTGGAAGGGAACCCAGCGAACTGGGCGCGAATGAGCGGCGGCAGGGAGGGAATGGTGGAGGCCAGAGTCGGAAGGACAGGGCGGGCATGTGGAGCGGAGGCGATGCCCAAGGAATGCCCAAGGAAGCCCGCAGCCTTAGGACACGGAGCAGCGGTGGGGGCATGCAGAGCGGAAGCCTGGGGTTCCTTGCTGGCACCTCCAGTTTCAAAGGGGCAGGGAGTAGATTAGGGAAGAGGAGTTTTCTGCCTGGAAAGCTTTTCCAGGGCAGAGAGGAGAACGTTCAGGAAGCAGGCTGCTAGATCTCCTGGGGACGCTTGGATTATTTCAGGGAGGCCTGTTGGATGGGTAGGAAACCACAGGTTGGATAGGTAAAGTTGAGTCGATGCTTAAGAAGGTTTCATTTTCACTGGAACCATCCATGGCTGGCTGAAAATGTGAAGAGCAGGATCAACACACAATGGAATTCATAGCCAATGCACATTGGACAGATATCCTCCCAACCCCCCCCCCCCACAAAAAAACCCCTAGCTTGCCCCGTGTGTGTGTGTGCTGCTTGTGAAATTCATCAGGCCTTGGCAATCTTCAGAGGAATGGATTCTACTTTGTACAGTAAACATAGCAAATCTAATTTAAATCGCAATGTACAGCAAATGTGAAAGTCACACCCAGGGGAAAGTGGGCACAGCCTGAGCTGTCCTTTGCTCATTCCGGGCTTTGCTGAAATGCTAATTTCAAAGCTCTTGCTAAACACCGAATAGCTGCTGGGCAACGGAGTATTTGAGGATGCCACGCATGGTTTTCTTCCCGGCAGAACTGCTTACTCAGCTCAGGGCAGAGTCGTGGACCCTTCTGGGGACAATCTGGGCCTTTGCATTTGCAAGGAGAGCTACAGCAAGGTGCAAACTTCTTCATGGCGGATAAGCTCAAGATCAAAACATAGCTCTGGGGCTGAGGATGTTTGTTCTCATATCTTCCATCAAGCCTGAAAGTTTGACATCTTGTTGTGACCTCTTTAACATTCTCCACTCACATTTTTTGGGGTGGGGGGAATAAAACTTAAGCTGCACATGCATCTGTGTTTCATTGGATTTCTCGGTTCCCCACTTTCAGCCTTTAGCAGGGATCACCAACAGTCTCTGAACGGGGTCCCACCTGCTCTCTGGCTGGGAGAGGGGACACGTTTCCAAGTCGCCCCGAGCGCCGCATGCCGCACTCTCAGGAGGCGGACGCCTCGCCCATCTCACCCGATCGCCAGTGCTGTAACCGCTAACTGTACCCAGTCCAACATACATTTGTAAGATCTCGGTCAGCTAATAAAATGATGTGGAAATGGGTTTCTCTGGAATTTCATTCACAAAGCTATGCAGTGGATGCGAGAGCAGTATTTGAGGCTGGAGTCCAGCTATAAGGTAACATCTCAGTGCAACGGAGTTTTGCCCGCTAAGTCCAGAGTGAGCGTTCCCAAGTTTTGCAATTGTTTCAGTTCCTGCAGGAGAGAATTCCAAGCTGGTGAGGCCTTTCTGTGGCAAAGCCCTGCCTTTCTTCACATTTCCGTGGCTTGTATGCATTTGATTTCTATTTCCTGCTTCATCTCCCGTGGCTTAATGACCCCGGAACTGTTGGCCAGAACCGGTTGGCACTCCAGCGGTTCGAGCCCAACCTCTGCCAGATGGCTTGAACCCCATCGGTTGTCCCTAGCACCTGGCCACCTAGCAGTTTGAAAACACCTAGTGCAAGTAGATAAATAGGTACCACCTTGGTGGCACTCCATGACTTCTTGCTGGCCACACGACCATGGGAACATCTTTGGACAGCGCTGGCTCACGGCCTCATAAACGGAGATGAGCATTGTCCCCCTGTTAGCCACCGGCCAAGCAGGGACTCCTTTACCATCCTCTCAAGAAGCTCAAGGTGGCTAACAACCTGATAAAACACAGTACCCCATATGAGCAGCAGTAAAATCTTGAATCTCATGGAGACAGTGAACTCATTGCTTTAGACTACAGCTGTGGCCCCCCCGGAAGTCTTGCAAGCATTTCTCTGCTTGCAATGCCAGTCGGTTGGGAGCAACTTCTTCTTGCTTGCTTTATTGATTGATTGATTGATTGATTGTGGTTTCATTCCACCCAATAGCCCAGAGGCAATCTGAGCAGTTAACAAAATCAAATGCATAAAACAAATATAATGCAACCAAACAGTAAAACCAGTAAAATCATTAAACCAGTCATGGACTGTGTGTACTTATGCCCCTTAACTTATGCTTACTTAACAAACCAATAACAAGCCAATACTTATGTCTTAATGCACAGAAGGCAGCAGCTATTAAAAGGGATTTGGCTTTTGGAAGAATAATAGGCACGAGACTGCTGAAGCTTCACAAAGCCTTCCTTGTGACATATGGAGGGCTGCCAGAGAATCTTTAATGGGCTCAAAGGAATTCCTATTTCTAGGAATCCTACCAACGGATTCCACAGCAGACTGACTTTTTCTGGGTTGTGCAAATTCGACAAATGTTTAGACTGCATTTTGAAGAAACACATGAATTTAGTCTAAGAAAATACATCGAGGAATAATAAAAACACTGATCAAAACTGCATCTCCCCATAGGCTCTGGTGTAACGATATGCTTTTCCAGATATGTGTGTATTTTGGAGGGATTTGTATATTTTCAGGAGTGCAAATTTGCACAACTCCAAATGTGTGCAAGTGCATTTGCGCAAAATCTGATTCTGTCAAGGACCAGATAAGGAAGCAAAAAGGGGATACAATCAGTGAGGCACGGACAGAATGGGCTTTGCAGCCTCTGGGGTCATATGCCAAAACAAGCCCTATGAAAAAATGGTGAGCAACCAATCGTCATCGTCATCCCCCCTGCGCCGTGACCGAATTCTTCTGGCTTCTTCTCCTGGCTCTGGTGTCCTGACTGGGTTTTCATCCACTTGGGTGACATTTCTCTGTTTTGATCTCTCTTGATGAGGCTGGTAAAACTGACACTTGCCCTTATTTTAATAGCTCAAAATGCGCTGACATTCATGGTGCTTGAATCTTTTAATTAAGAGGGTGGTGAATCGATTTGCAGGACAGAGCGGATGCGTTTGGATTAAGAGAAACACAAAAGAGGGTGGCTGAGCAGGAAGCACCATTTTTCCTGTCTCTTCAGCTCTTGATACACTTGGCATTTCCAGCTTCCTGACTGGGAAGGGATTTGTTGCCTTCCTGTGCTTATGGAAGGCACAAATGTTTGGTTTACGGATAATCCGAGAAAGCTGGCTCCACAAAAGCTTGTCTAATTGCCATGGCCCTTTCCAGATGGCGGATGATTAGCCGTGTGCTGTTCACTCACTCCGCATTGTATGGGGACATCAGCAGAGGCCCAGGTGGCTCAAGGCCAGGGGATAACGTTGCCGCAAGCACCGGCACCAGCCCAAGCGTCGGAGAACCTAGAGCCCAAGGCCACCCCACGAGGCAGACAGCCGGGAGCTTCGGGGCAGATACAAGGAAGCCCTTCTTCACACCAAGCATGGTGAGACCATTAATCCAGCCATGATTAATGGTTGGACTCATCACCACAGTGTAAAGTGATGGCCACCACTCCAAATGGCTTTGAAAGGGGACAGGACACGTTTTCGAAAGATGTGACCATCGGTGGCTAAGACTTGTGAGAGCAGAGGCGGTGTGATGGCTGGAGAGCCCAGCCAGGAGAATGCCCCGCACCCGCGTCTCACCTGTGGGTTTCCACCAGCAGCTGTTGGGCCACCGCGTGAGCGCAATGCTCAGCTAGATGGGCCTGATCCAGCAGAGCTGCACTTTGCCTTCTGTGCCCCATACATGAGCTGGGTTCTCGAGCACTTAGAGCATCACCAAGAACATTCAAGGCAACCTTGGCTGTTCTAGTCTGCCTCATGTTCCTATTTTGACTGTTGTGCCTCTGCTAGGAGATGTCTTGGAGGGATGGCTGGAGGACCAGAAGCCTTCTTCTGGCAGGAGGAACCAGATCCCTCATGGCCAGGCAGGTGGTGCCTCCAGCTCTTGGGAGAGCTGGACGGAGCCGGGGCCTCCCTGGAAGAAGAAGCCTAGTTTTTCTGTGCGCAGCAGAGCCTTTCCAGCTGCCATCTTTTCCAGCCATGGCCCTGACCGCCTCTGCCCAAACGCTCCAGAAGGAGCTGCAGTGTTGACCAAAGAAGCGATGTCACTCCTCCTTCCCAGCTCTTGCTTCCAT